CGGATAGGATGGGACGTAGGAGTAGGTTGGAGTAGATGGATAGGTAGTGATGGATGGAGTGGATAGATGGATGGATGGACAGATGGACAGATGGTTGGATGGATAGATGGTTGGATGATGGATGGATGGATAGATGGTTGGATGGATAGATGGATGAAAAAGATGACATGATAGATGAATGGAGAAATAGATACAGATGAAGATAGATAATAGATGAATAGGTAATAGTTTAGATAGATAATAGAGGGAAAGACATAGATGATAGATAGATATCGATAACAGGAGATAAATAGACAGATGAAAAATGATAGACCATACATAGATGGTAGAAAAGTGATAGATAGATAGATGACAGATAGGTTGATTTTAAGATATTGACTTACATGGCTGGGCTGGGGGTGTGTGTGTGGCAAGTCTGTAATCTTCATGGCAGCCTGGCAGGAGTTGATGTTGGCTTTTTGACTCCAAAGCCTGGAGACTCAGGCAGAATTTCTATGCTGGAGTCTGGAGGCAGAATTCCTTCTTCCTTGGGAAACCTCTGTTATTTTTTTTTAAGTCCTTCAACTGATTGGCCGAGGCCCACCCCCACCTTGGTGGGCAATCTGCTTAACTCCCCATCTACAGATTTCCATGTTACTCTCATCTTAAAAAACACCTTCGAGGTGCTATCTAGACCAGTATCTGACCACGTATCTGGCCACCTGAGACTGGCCCTGTTGACACGTGACATTCATCCTCACAGAGCCAATCCCTTTCTTACAAGAAGAAAAGAGTCACTTGATATCTCAAGAAGGATGCTGGCTGGTGCTGACCCCATCATGGAGGAAGGGACTTGCAGGCTCCAGTCTGTGGCGCCCTCACACTGGGTTTATTATCTGACATGAATCCCCATGAGCCCCTTGAGGACACAGCAAGACCTTGCCACGCAGACTGCTGAGATAGCTTTCTTGCTTCTGTTTATAAAAGTAACACGGGGGCACCAAACAGTTAAAAATAGGGAGGCAGGGTAAGGATGTTCTAAGGGCATCTGTAGGTCTAACCCCCACACAGAGCCCCCTGAGCACCTTGGAATGAGTCCCTTTGAGTGTCCGTCCCTGGAGAACAGCATACACACACACACACACGCACATACATGCGCAGACACACATAGACACACACACATACATACACACTGATTTGACAGCAGTGATGTCAGACTTACACAATCCGCCGTGTCCTCCGCTCTGTCCTCTTTTTGCTGGACATGGGACGTTAGGCTCCCCAGCGCCAGCACCTGGTTGGGTGTTCAGTTAGCAGGTTTCTCCTGCCCTGACCGACCCCCTGTCTGCATTCAGGTGGAAGACTCTGGAAAGTCCATTACATCACGCCACGGTTCCACCCCCAGGGAGCGGGGGCCTGCTACGGGCGAAGCGTGTGCCCCTGCTCTGGGGAGGGGGTGACCTATCATGACCCCCCTCTGCTCTTCGACCTCTCCAGAGACCCCTCGGAGGCACGGCCCCTGTCCCCTGGCTCTGAGCCCCTGTACCATGCAGTGGTGGCCAGGGTGGGCCAAGCGGTGGAGGCGCACAGGGAGACCCTGAGCCCCGTGCCCCCTCAGTTCTCTCTGGGGAACATTGTGTGGAAGCCGTGGCTGCAGCCGTGCTGTGGAACCTTCCCCTGGTGCTCCTGCAGCCAGGACTGAGACCCCAGGGTGATGTGACCTGCCCCGTCCGCAGGGCTCTCAGCAAAAGGACAGGAGATGGGAGCCGTGGAGCGGGACGTGGAGGAGATGGAACTTGAGCACTCTTGTTGGGAATGTAGACTGGTGCAGCCACTGTGGGAAACCATGGGGAGGGGGTTAAAAATAAAAATGGAACGCTTGTGTGGTCCGGTGGTTCCAAATCTGGGTATTTATCTAAAGGAGATGAAAACAGGATATTGAAGACATATCTGCACCCCTGTGTTCATTGTAGCATTATTTACAATAGCCAAGACATGGAAACAATCTAAGAGTCATATCAGTGGATGAACAGATAAAGAAAATGGATAAATATGTATAGATAGATAGACAGACAAATGGGTAGATAGATATGATATGATGGATGGATGGATAGACGGATAGAAATGATACGACAGATGGATGGGTAGATGGATAGGTAGATAGATGTGTATACACACAATGGAATATTATTCAGCCATGAAAAGGAAGCCTTACCGTTTGTAACAGCATAGGTGGACCTTGAGGGTGTTATGCTGTGAAATAAGTCAGCCAGAGAAAGACAAATATTGTATGATCTCACTTATATGTGGAATCTTAAAAAAAAAATGAAGTCATAGATGCAGAGCATCAACTGGTGGTTGCCACAGACGGGGAGGTGAGGGAGCTGGGAACACCGTCCAAGTGGACACACTTCCAGCAATAAGATGAACACATTCTTGGCATTGAAGATACAGCACAGTGACCACAGTTAATAAAAACGTATTATGTAGTTGAAATTTGCTCAGACAGGAGATCTGAAGCGTTCTCACCAGACACACAAAAATGGCAACTGTATGAGGTGATGGCTGTGTGTGTGAACTTGATGCGATCATTTCACAGCATATACATGTATCAAACCATCACCTTGTACCTTAAATATATACAATTTTATGTATCAAGTATACCTCAACAAATCTGGGAAATCAATGTTTAAAAAAGACAGGGACAGCTCCCGTGACAGCCAGGATTGTGAGAGAGGACCCTGGAGAAAGTTACCGGACTGAAAAAACAAAAATCTACAACCTTGGTCCTCGCTTAAGTTTCCCTTTCTTGAGAAGCATGATG